TTTCATGGTTCAGGCTTTTATATTTTCTTGATGCTATTTGTGAATTTGAGACCGCCTAACCAACAGTGCATGTCCAGTTGCTGGACACTATTAGCCTGTAATATATATATCCACTCCATGTGTCTGTGAAGAGAGACTGATAATCCGCTGGTTACACCGTCTTTTCATGAACTCTTCTCATTTTCGTGTGCATTTTACATTATCTTGAAACCTGACATTAGTCACTGCCTGTGCTCATGCGATTCGTTTGTCGCACAAAATTATAAAATCAAGAGCAGGTTCAGTGAGATAGCACGCCCCACCAATAGCCATTAGCTGTCGGTGGCTCACCCTCTAGTACCTCCAAATAAAAATGATGGCAGTTTTAACTCTTTGGCACGAACCACTACTAATCTGCCATCAGAGCTGGAACATTACACTATTTACTCATTGTGTTATACACCATCTTCCCCTTATCTCACTTTATTTTTGCATTTTTCTATTTCAATAAAAAGATATTCCAGATTATGCTCCATGACAGTTTAGTCGCATTCGACTAGATCCACTAAACAAGCATTTTTATTTTTTAAAAAGAAATTGTTTTGAAGTGGAGTTTTAAAGCGAAATTTTTTTAAAAAGTGAAATTTTTCTCCTACTTTAGAATTTAAATGAACGAACTCTTAGGATTAGGAAATTCTTAAGACTAAAGCAGAGAAAAGAACGGACGAGATGATCAGCGGAGTGGCCGTCAGGGCGAGAACTTTAACATACAGGAACTCTGTTGTTAACCCCATCGCTGAGATGAAACCCAGATGAAATCCATGAAACCCAAGGTCAAATACAGCGCTGCATTTAAGTGCAAATATAAACGCGGTAGATCCATTGTTCGTTCAAACAGCAGTGATACGGAATTTTAGCCCGACAAAGCTGCATCGGGATTTCATGGTGCAATAAAAATTTTAGGTGCAAGGGACGATAAGCTTTTAGTGGGAAATAAATGTTCAGCGCACCGACTGTCACTGCGCAGATGCGTTTTCTGCATGGTCCCCCGCAGTTTTTGTCGCTAATGGCTTTGTTTTTCCAGCAGATCTAATTAAGGGAACTGAGGCTAGCCACCAGAGCTGTCTGAAAACATCCCCTCAAATTTTCAGTTTTCTACCTTTTCTAGCTCCCGAGTTAGCAACTTACCCACCAAAAATTTTCACTGCCCTGTACGTTGGGAACACGCATTCTCGGGAGCTGGATTTGATTCATTAAGATCTAAGTGAACGGGGAACAGTCCTTAAAATTTTATTTAGCTTTTCTAGTTTACGAGTTAGCGGCTTATCCACCAAAAATTTTGACGGACTCGTACGTGGGAACCACGAACTCCCAGGGGCTAAGTTTTAACTCATTAAGACCTACGTTGACGGGAACATGACCTTAAAATTCCAGTTCTCTAGCTTTCCAGGTCCCAGGGCTAGCTGCTTACCCGCGAAAACTTTCACGAGCCCGTATGTGGCAATCAAGCATACCCGAGTGCTGGATTTGAACTCATTAAGACCTACGTGGATAAGGGATATCCCTTTGAAACTTCCACTTTCTAGCTTTCCTGGTCCCCGAGTTAGCAACTTGCCCGCCAAAAAACTTGGCGGGCTCGCATGTGGATATCACACGGACAGGAGCGCCCATCTCGGGGCATGCAGATTAAGTTCCAAAGTTTCAGCCCCGTAACTTTCGTAGGTCTCGAGATGGAAGGCCGGTACAGATGAACGCACATATACACATACACACACACACACACACACACATACGCGCACACACACAGGGTCTCGGCAAGATGCGTTTTTGCATTGCACAAATGCAAAAAATGCATAAAAAGTCACATAAAAAAACTCTGCTGGAGCAATCAGAGGAAATATGGCAACAGTCAAGACAGACCCTACTCCCCTGCACTAGTCATTTACCACCGCTCTGCGAACGCTCAGCAGCAGTGAGCCACTATTCCAGCCACTGGCGGATCCAGGAGTGAGAGCCGGTCTTTCGCCCTCTCCCCCCTCCCTCCGCCCCGGGGT